GTCTGGGTACAGAAGTACCATTGTATGCATCCACCACTTCCACCAGATTGTGCCTTGATGAGTGTATGCTGAGTACACATTCAACTGCCCACCCAACATCCTTGCCAAATAGCATTGTATTCACATTGAACTGAGTGGACAAAGTAAGGTGACCCACAAGCACTTCACATCCCCCCTCCCCATGGAAAAATGTTTTTATGAATTTTGGACATGACTTCTTTTTCCTCAGAAAAATGTGGAATGTAGGTGCAGGTCACCAATCAAGTAGTTGAGAGTACATTGTTCAAGTGAATGTGTGTGCTCAAGAATTCTATCCAAGATGACTACCTATAAGATCTTCTTCTTCAGTCCAAACACATCAAAAATGAGTTAACCCCTCAAGGACATATGACAAGAATCACCTATGTACATACTTGTTCAGAATGAACAGTTGCTGAAAACCACATTTGTAAGTCAAGCTGGGATGGATTCCTGTGATATTTATTCTTTTTATACCTGCTTTTCCAGACGGATACAGACAGGCATATGTATAAGGTGGCAAGTAACAGCTAGTAGTAGCAACGGTGGGCCGCTACGCTACGCTAAATGGCCATTTAGCGTTAGCGTAGCTGCTGTTGAAGCAACCTTTTTTTGTGTAGTGTTAGTTTGCGCTACAGCCCACTACGCTACGCTAACTTTTAGCGGCGCTAACAACACACCTTTTTTTGGGTAGTGTTAGCGCACCGCTACAGCGCTGTTAGCGGCAAAAAAGGCCAAAAAACCGCTAAAAAGCGCTGTAGCTTGGTGTAGCGGACGTTTTTTTTGCGCCCCATGGGCGTAGTGTTAGTGTGGATGAGTGAAATAAAGCTAACACCCACTGGTGCCCTGCGTGCGTAGTGTTAGTGCAAATTTTCAGATTTGCGCTAACACTATGCTACATGTTAGCTTATTTTAGCTACACTACGCTACACTAACGCTACGGTTAGTGTAGCTGGCCCACCGTTGGTAGTAGTTAACTACAAGTAAAGCCAAGCAAAAATTCAAACTTTGACTGTGATTTACTTTCGTGTGACAAATTGCTTGATTATCAACACACTAATAAATCCCTTAACTCATTGCATTCATGTATCCATTTGTCTATTTATGTATTATTATTATTTTTTACATTTGTCTGAGTGTATGTTGTATGTCTGGCTTAGCAGTCCCAAAAAGAAAGCATCTGTCTAAGCTACAAATCGCTCATCTAGATGGGACACGTCGCTTACACAGTGGTACAATCTTGGCGCACTTCAAGAGCCTGCTGCGTTGAACATTCCATTGCTTAATTTGCTCACTACATAGCTGGTTGCGGAGTTCGATTCGTGTCGGACAAAACCACAGTCGCCGTCTGCTCTGCCCCACAAATACGATGTCAGGTCTTTGCGCCATTGGCCGGTATGGGGTTGTGTTTGCCCTGCTCCTGAAGTCCTTCTCAGTTGCTCCTGGGCTTGGAGGCCCGCCACCGGATCCAAGCCTCTATACCGCCCGGTGCCAGCAATGTTGGCAAGTCGCCGGCAGTCCGTCCGAGTTCATAAACACCATGTACAAGACCATCACCTTCAATTTCTATCCTTGCAGTGCTATAAGTCATGACCGCACCTGCCGTCAGACCTTCCGCCTTCAACGGTACTGCTGCGTAAGATGCTGGCACTTTGTCAATGTCAGTCTGGGAGGTGGATGCCCCGTCCACGGCCAGCTCACTCAATACATTCCTCGAGAACCCCGGCAAGCCCTAGGATAGGGGAGGGGGGGATGTTGAAAAAGTTCAAATGTCGGCAACATTCATACCCAGGGGCCCCGCGGGGAGTCATTTTTTTTTTTCTTTTGGAAAATTCATACTTTTCTGCTCAGGCTAAAATCCCCTAAAAAAGAGGGGGGGGGGCAGGGGGGCTTGGTAAAATGTCCAATCTGGGGCCAAATACAAAGATTTGATTGGTTTAAACAAGGTTGACATACCTAAAATGGCCTCTTTCATGAGCATTTCGAGCGTATGATTTTGCGATTTTCACAAACCTTTTTCAACCTGTTGATATGTATATTTTTTTCTTTCTTTCTTTTGGGTTTCTTCACTGTAGTAGTACTGACGCGAGCTGGTATCAAAGCCACTATCTTGAATCTTAATATGAAAGAAAAGATGTCATGACATTACATGGTGTTGATGCTCCAAGGAAAGGTTAGTCAAAAAAAAAAATCATCCGCTTAGTGATTGTTGAATGGATAATGGCCTAGTGGCCCAACCCGCTACTTCATCAATCAACAAATCAGAATCATAGGGATCTGGGAGAGTTGCAGATCCTCTGAATTACTGTGTCCACATGGGTTTTGTTTGTCTGTTTGTTTGGATGTATTGACTGTCAGGACAGTCTCAACAAGAAAACATCCCAACAAATGAAAAAGAAAACAAAAAAAGAAAAAGGGAAACCACAAAAAAAAAAAAAAAAAACGAAACCAAGAAGGAGTTAAAAGCATGTAAGATTGAGCTCGAGACGATGATGATTGAAGATTAGAAGAGGGGAAGGAAAAGAAAAAGAAAAGAGATCGATATAGAATGGGCGAATCAGAACTGAGTTTTCCGTTTCCGTCCGGTGAATTTGGAGTCTCTTGGAACCTATATCCGCGCAAAAAGCCATGAGATGCGAATCAACAAGAATGTACGAGTGACGGATAAACAGGTCCAAAAAGCAAGAAAATAAACACACATCTTCTTTCCCACGTTTCCTGTAGAGTTCTTTCTTCTTATAAATCCATGCCTGTTTAGATTCATCGATCGCGCCTTTGGTGGAAGATCTCTTGTTTTTCTTGTGATTTGATTTCTTGCTATACTTGACTCTCATATTCTGGTCTTCAGTCGTTAGTCCTCGAGGTAATTGGTTGGCATTGTTGGTTGTTGTTGAGTGCGGCGAAGGCCCGGTCATCAGAACCAGATAAAACTTTTTCGCTTTCTGACTGTTAGGGTCTTTTGAGAAACAGTCCAAACAGAGATACGTTATCAATAAACTGCATAAATTTGTGGTAACTGAATCCCAAACAACTCCAGAAGAAATTTTTGTTCTATCATGATGATGATACTGACAATCGACAACCAATCCCCCGGTGAATCCAGCCCGATTAGCAAAAGACATGATGAACCGAACCTGATCATCAGATTCAGGATAGAACTGAAACACCGCTCTTGCGCCTCGAACCAATGCACCAAACAAAGTCTCAAAGAACGCCTTGAGTCGTTTCGGGGGTGAGTTTGAGGATTTATCTGCATTACATAACCATTGGATTACTGATACACTTTTTTTTTTCTTTAGGTCAGCATTCATCTCATCATTGTCCCGTTTTTTAAAAAAAAAAATCTCAGATTGTGATTGCTTCATTTACCTGATCGCCCCGTCAAAGCTTCCTGGTCGAAAGCCAAATCCTTGCCCAATATCATGCAAGCACAGATCGCCATCAACTTCCCTATCTAAAGCGATTTCTATTGATTTAATCGTACAATTAACAGAACCCCTCCAAAAAAATCAGTAAGAACAAGAAAAAAAGAGAAGAATTTAGTTGTTAGGGGGAGGACTTACCGAGCATACTTCCACTGATATCGACGCCGACCCATTGATGGCCATGATCGGAAATGATCTCGCCACTCAGTCCACTTCCACAGCCGATATCCAAGAGCAGGGCCGAGTAATCATGATCCCCAGGATCGTCGGATTGGGACGGCAGATTCAAGAGTTCCAAGCATCGCTCGGTCATCTCTGATTGGATGGATTGGATCCGACTGGACTTGGTGTACTTCTCCGCCTCGTTATCATTGTAAAACTGTGTGTTTGTGTGTGTGTGTGTAAGCAGGGCAGTGATAAGAGATCAGATTGGGGTTGTGAAGTGTGAAAGTTTACTCAGACTATTTCTGGCGGTGCTTGATGTTCTGGTCGAGACATGCCGATTCGATTGTTGGTGTTCACAGTGGGGCCGGGTGGCCGACGTGCTTGATGCATACACTCACAGCACTGGGCCATATTGCATATATGCATCCTGCCCAGTTGGCTCTTAGTTTTTAAGCCACCCTCGCTGGCCAAGAAGCCTCCCTCCCACAGCCAGCACCTCACACAAAAGTAGGAGAAACATGTTCAAGTTCGAATTCGTAAGTCAACCTATCATCCATCATCATCAAAGCAAGTACTGATGCTCGTTCTTCTTGAACACTCCCTTCTCAAAGGACCTCGACGATCTGACAGATGAAACCAATCAGCAACCAAAAGAAACCCAACCTTCTCAAGCAGAGGATATCCAAATTATTAAAGATGACCGAGCACAAGATCCATGTGTCGTGATCCCATTCAAGGAACTCGTACGTCCATCTTCTCGAACAAGCTATTGAGGGGGAAAACAGGGAGGGAAAAGAACTTATGAAATTCTGAAGCACAGAAATAGTAAATTCTTACCGTCATGTGACCATAGATCGACCGACTCCCGCCATTCATAAGCTATTCGAAGCTGAAGATCAACGACTCATTATCGATATACAAGCGAGAGTTATACGATGCAAAGTATCAAACGATAGTCAACCTTGCCGAAGAAGAGGAAGAGAGGGAAGAAGAGGAGCAAGATCGAGAAGAACAAGAAGGAGGCGAAGAAGAAGGCAAGAAGAATGGCGAGGAGGAGAAGACGAGACAGAAGACCTTAGAGTCACTACAATCGAGCTCTGATCTGATCCCAGGCGTATACGAAGGCGGCTTCAAAACTTGGGAATGTAGCTTGGATCTGGCCACCCATCTCGACCCGATTGTCGAACGATTGAAGACCCTTTTTTCAAAACAAGAAGAAGAAGATCATCCAGACCGAAAAAATACCCCCGACGAGAACAGGAACCAATCCGAAGATATCTTGCCCTATAGAATCTTGGAGATCGGTTGTGGGACCGCCGTGCCGACCGTATCCCTCTGCTTCAAATTGTTTGCGTTCCTGTTGGCTCGCAATCGAGCTCCTCAACTCCAGTCATCATTCGACCGCCAGCATGACCTCGAGTCTCCTATCCTCGAAATCCTCTTGCAGGACTTCAATGCAGATGGTACATGTTTCCTCTGTTTCCATTTCAGGCCGGATGTTTTCTTTAGTTTAATCCTCAACAAACAGAAACTGACTAGGCTGCTCCCTTTTCAAATTCAAATCACTCACCTTTTTTTTTTGGGGAAAATGAAAAGTGTTAAAGCTTCTAACATTCCCAAACATTTTATTAGCGTTTTATCGAGCGAGCATGATGACCTCGAAGTTGGAGCAAGCGGATGTGTCTGAAGAAAGAGAAGAGAACGGGGACTCGGCCAAAGAAAGGATGGACAGTTCAGAGGAAACTGAAGAAGATTTAGAGATCACAGACGAATTGAAGACGGACTTTGAGTTATTTCTGCGCGAGAATCGGATCCGCTTGACGTTGATCTATGGGCCATGGTCGACGTTTGAGCTTCCGGGAGCACTATCGTCCAACCTGACTTTGAGTGTCCCGGGAAAGAGTGGAAAGCAAAGAAGAAAAGGATGCGAAGTGATCATGAGTTCAGAGACTTTGTACTCGACCGCCTCCTTGCCGGACCTGATCAACGTCTTACTATCATCCAAGATCAACAACATCGTCCACCAGACCGACGATGATCCACAGAGGCTAGAAGAAGGAACAGAGAGCCACTCTACGACGATCCTCATCGCCTCCAAATCCGTCTATTTCGGCGTCGGCGGCGGCACCCATTCGTTCGTTGACTTGGTCGAGAATACCCACAAAGGAGCCGTCGAATTCGTCGACCTCGATCATCATTCTGGTCCCACTTCTAGCGGGATCTCTAGAGTCCTCATGGATGTCAAATTCCCCTCTTGAACCATCCCCTCCCCTCCCCTCCATGACTGTTTTAGGCGGCGTATCATCTGCACTCGTTCTCAGCTTCACCTCTCATTGCCCCCGCTTCTGACCTCGAATCTTGTCTTTCTACTTATACAGCCCTGGTTTTGTCTTGCTGCTATATAACCCCGGAATGTTCTCCAGTCTTATTCTTCTGTCTTTCTCGCATTCCAGACAGGCTTGTTTTTTTTTTTTTTTTTTTGGTCGATTGATTCTTTGACACGCGATTCATGAATCTTGCGTTCTATCTGTTGTCAGATCATCATGACCAAGGCCTTCTTATATGTGCTTTTTTGGGCTCACTTTTTTGGGGGGGGGGGGCTTTGATTATTGTGAAGGAGAAACCATTCAGAAAGCTTGGCTCCCACTTAAAATGAAGTACGACCAAAAAAAAAGAAAGAAAAAAAAAGATACACAGATGGGTCTTGAAGACCCCCAGATTCAGGGTTCTTGGAGTCCAGATTCATCTCAGCTCTTGGACTATTCACGGCCGAATTCTAGTGCTCGTCTCTCGATTCTTTGGGCATGGATCTTGCCATCATATCATTGTTTGAGAGAACAGAAAAACCAATCGGCTTGATCAGCTTGAAGGTGGAGGAATAATCGATCACTTGTCTGGTTTATAATTTGTATAGAACCAAAGTATTCACCACTTGGATGATGTGTATATATGGATCAGATAAAAAAATAAATAAAAAAGAGATAACTCTGAATGGTCAAACCAAAGGTGTATTTCTGATAATCGAGCAGAGAATAAATCACACTTAGTTGGTTGGCATAGGTGTGGGCCATAAAGTGCCATCATTGACTGATCAAGAGAATAAAATCGAAGTCGCGGGGCTCCGGGGCAGACCGGGACTTTCCGGGACTCGCTCCTCGGGTTGACCCTCCAGCCCCGTCCCAAATCCCGGGATTCGGGAACCATCCGTTCTGCGAACTTACAACACAAGTCCCTCGCCTACCGGCAGGCACTGGCAGGGGCGCGAAGCGCCTCGCACAAAGTGCGACCTCCCGTCACCCAGTGACTTGAATCTTGACCAGCCATACTTCCACTGTAGTCTACCGGGTATGTACCCTAATTGAAAGCTCAAGTGGGGAATTTTCAGAGCTCCTATGTATGAACAGACGGGAAAACAGAGATGAGCGTCACGTCGGCCAACTGGGTGTTTTGCCGCAGGAGTCAGGACATGGTGATCGGAAGTGCTAAACACTCCCGAGTCGAGTCCGACCGAGGCGCTCAAGACTCCAAGTTTAGTTGAGCAGAGTGGCTAAAATGATAATTTCTTTGTTGGGTCTTGACTAACTTGGACATACGACTCTCGAGCTCGCCATGACTATGTATTGTATGTAGGGCCCGGTCAAGCAGATATAAAAGAGAAAAACAAAAAGATCAGGTGTGGATTGAAGATCAGTTTGAGGATCTTGGTATCACTCTTGGTTTATGTGGCGATGGCGGAGTTGGGCAAACCCGGCTGAAATCACCGGCGCTAAGGTGATAGTCTTCTGCCGAACGCTACATGATCAAGTATTTTAAAAAGTTGCACCTGTCTTAATTAGTAGAGCAACCGGTGTGGACGTGGCTGAAGGAGATGAAAAAAAAAAAAAAAAAAAAAAAAAAAAAGAATCAAACACATACCCTGATGGCCACACCTGTACCTGCGTCACAGCATCTTGGAGCACCTGCATGTGCTCCACTGATGTACACATCATCACAGTGTTCGAACCGGTTCATATCCGCTAGGACCACATACGCTATGTGTTGGGAGAAAAAAAAAAGAAAAAAAGAAAAACATAATGTCACTGTCAGTAAGAAAAGTTCGAATAATCCGAAAAAAAAAACACTCGCTTTGACGAGCACTTACCGGCGCCATCTTTATCTATGCATGCACAAACTGCCACAGGAAAGTTACCATAACATCTGAATGGAGAGAGTTTTGGGGAGACGTTCGTTCCCGATGCGAGCTTGCTCTGGATTGCTAGCTGTAGGATCAAGAGGTTCGCGATCTTGGAAACCTGCATCTTGTCTTGTTATTGGAGCTGAGGTGTTGGTTGAGGGATGTAAAAGTATGTAGCGAAATGGATGGCAACAAGAGGTACCAGAGAGAAAGACCTATGTATGGGGTTGGGGGGAAGGAGCCAGGAACGGCGGGCTTGAGGTATGCCAGCGCTTTATGGGCTTTTTTGGTCTGCTTAATGGCTGATGTCTTCTTTCCGCCAAGGAGCCGGACGAACGGTACACATAACACACCACCTGGACGCGTGTTCCCTACAATTGAGTAGTATGTATTGCTCAGGCCGGAGAGGCGGGACGCCTAGAGCAGCGCAGTGGTTGGACTTGTAACAATCCAAGCATCTCAAATTGTCACTCAAGGCTTGTGAGACCACAGCCCATGTATACGGAAGCCCATAGGGGACTCCAATCGGCTCACGCTTTTGAAAAATGAAAAGTGAAAAATGAAAATACAGAATTCTGTATTCCATTTAAAATACAGATATCTGTATTTCCACATTCTGAAATGTGAAAAAAAACTATGATTGATACGTGTCGGAAATGGATAATCACATATCGGAAACGTATAGTTGTCATCCCGGCCAACCAATACTGCATCGGCTCGGAAAGGTCCAACTTCCGGGGACCGGTCCTTCCGGGCGGATGCTGTTTCAAGACCTGCAAACAGGTTGTCTCCAAGGTGAGTCCACTTCCTTGAAGTTGAACCAGCCATTGAAGGCAGTTGACCAAGGTCCAAGTCTGACCGGCACTCAAAGGGAGTACACATGCATACAGCCGCCTTCATTGATCTCAGACTCGGTGATCAAAGGGAATTGTCACTCCCTTTAGATCACCGGTCAGAATCTGTCATTGAAGGCAGTGTGTAAGCCCCTCAATGACAGATTCTGACCGGTCATTGGTGGTCATCCAGCGGAGTGCATACCAGTCCCCTCCCTTCGAGGAGCGGTCTGTGGTGTGTTTCCTGTTGACGAGCCGTTCAGAACCGGCCATCAAATGGAATGAGTAATCCTGTTGATGACCGTTTCTGCGATGACCGTTCAGAGCTGGGCATCGAGGCGAGTAGGTATTCCCCTTCATGACCAGTTTTGAGCGTTCATGGTGGGGAGCACTTACGTGTCTCAATGACCAGTTCTGAACGGTCATCGAGAGGAGTGGATATGTACTCCTCTCAACGACTAGTTCTGACCAGTCATCAAGGGAGTGCTCATTCGCTTCGATAACTGGATGACCGGTCATCTCTGATTAGTCGGAGACTGAAGTGGACACTCCTTTACCATCTGACAGCAGGTCATTCTGTACCGATCAACCAGCACCGGTCCAGGACTCAGGAGGCGTTAACCTCCCGGGCCGGCCTGTGCTGGGCTGATCGTTGACTCTTGTGTTGACATTTTCTATGTGCTGTTTTCGTTATGCACTTCTGATTTGGCTTAACCGATAGTGATGTTTCACATTTTAGAATGTGGAAATACAGAAATCTGTATTTTAAATGGAATACAGAATTCTGTATTTTCATTTTTCACTTTTCATTTTTCAAAAGCGTGAGCCGATTGGAGTCCCCTATGGGCTTCCGTACATGTATGTATGTACTGCATCGGTTCCCTCCCTGAAAGCACCAAGGTTTCTATGAGTATGTATTAGAATCAGGCAGGAGTCGGATGATGCAGCAGTCCTGTAAGAGTCTCTCTGCTCTGGGGGAGCTTCATTCCTGAATAACAGACGACCGGCCGAGTTCTTCTACATAACAAAACTCCTCTGGTTTGACCACATAGCGAACTGGATGGCAACAAGAGGTGCTAGAGAAAGACCGATGTATGGGGGGGGGGGGGGGGGGGAAGGAGGCAGGAACGGCTCAAGGTATGGCAGCGCTTTATGTATGGGCTTTTTTGGTCTGCTTAATGGGTGATGTGTTCTTTGCGGTACAGAGCCGCCGAACGGCCTACACCACCTGGACGCGTGTTCCCTACGAATTACAATTGAGGATGTATTAATCGGGTTGGAGAGGCGGGAGGCCTAAAGAGCAGCGCAATAAAGAATCCAAGCATCTCAAATTGACAATCAAGGCTTGAGACTACAGCCCATGGACTACAGCGGTTCCCAGAAAGCACCAAAGCTTGTATGTATGTAGAACCAGCTGCTGTCCTGCAAGAGTCTCTCTGCTCTAGGGGGGGGGGCTCCATTTTCCTGGATCATAGACGACCGACCGACCGAGTGCTTCTAAAGAAAACTATGCCATGGTCGAGCCCAAGTCAGGCACAGCCTTGAAAGTTGAAAACCTCCTTCAACGGACAGGCAGAAATGGACAGATGAACACGGTTTTTTTTTTTTTTTTTTTGGTTTCTGTTCTGATGTTAGACCTCTGCTCTTTGATCATTAACCAGTGAAAATCAAGTACACAACACACTCACACAACACACTCACACACACACACACACACACACACACAGATACTTCAACACAAGATAAGAAAAAAAAAATTAAAAACAACAACTTCAAAAAAAAAAAAAAAAAGATGATGATGATGATGATGATGATGATAGTTACAAGGAGACGAAAAGATAAACAGGTAAAATGAGATGGGAGTAGCGAGAAAGAACCCAGAAGGGAAAAAAGGGGGGGAGGGATGGGATGAGAGAAGAGGGGAAAGGGGAGGATGAAGAATGGTAGAGCAGACGAGGAAAGAAAGATGAAGGAGGGGGAACTGTGAGGCCACGAACTGACGAGAGTTTTAAAAAAAGGGGGGAGTAGGATTAAGATTCCCAGCGTTTGACGAGATCGGAGATAGGGCCCGGAGTAGTCGCGGGATTAGCGAGGGTATGGATGGCGTTAAGTTTGCGACGATCGGGGCGGGAGAGGAGGGAGTTGCGGAAGTTTTTATTGAGGCGAGAGTTTTCGTCGGCCGAGGAGAGGGAGGAGGGGAGGATGAGATTGTTGTTGGTAGATACGGAGCCGAGGGAGGAGATGGAAGAGTTGGAGGAGGAGGAGGTCGACTTGGAGGACGGGCCGGAGGGGTGAGACCCGGAGGGATACACGCCCCCGCTCAGTCGATTGGCTAGGTTCCGATACCCTAACTTGTGGTTAGGTCCAGCTGCTGCTGTCGTCGTGCTCTTGTTTTCCTCCGGCCCCGACCCAGAGATCGGCAGCAAGACCCGGGCCGCAAGGAGGGTAGGAGGAGTCTTGAAGGAGGGGGCCGAACGTAACTGGTCGATCGGGAGCTTCGCGGATGACACCTCCTTCTGCGGGCTGCTGGCCTTCGAGCGTCGGTTGGAGTCCTGGAGGCCGAACGCCCGGGCCTCGGTCGGCCGCGACGACGAGAGCTGGCTGCTCAGACTAGAGTTCCGACTGAGCAAGCCACCGATCGAGTACTGCGACGGCGGCCGGCTTATGTTCTTGGGTCTGATCGACAGGCCCCGAGTGGAGATCAACAACTTGCTGGCCGACTGATCCTCTTCCTTCTCCCTCACCTCCCCATCCTTGCGCCCACTCAGGATCCCCTGTCCATCCGCACCCGTCAGTTTGGACCACTGCCCAACCACCGAGCTCACCCGACCTCCGCGTCCGCCTCTCATCGACTTATACTCTCCATTGGTCAATGGGATCGGCGTGTCTTCGTCAAACGACATGCTCTTCACGCTGTCATCCGTCTGGGACCTACTTGGCCAGTCAAGAGAGCCGCGTGAATCCGGATCCCTTGATCGATCGATCGAGCTCCTGTTCCCACCAGAATCCTCACTTGTCCTCTCGGCTATCGAGATCGACGCCCTCAACCGATCAAAGCCAATCAAACTGCTCCGATTGGTCGAAGGCACTCCGGCCTGACTAGTCGAATACATACTCGAGCGAATCGAACTCCTACTCTTGGCCGGCGATTTGACGAACTCGGGCGTCGAAAGCCTGCGGGAAGTAGCTTTCTGGACCGCCAGGTTAGTTTCCCGCAGAGCCTCGATCAGCTGGGCCTCGATCTCATTAGATTCCTCTTCGTTCCATCCTCCTGGCACTCGACTGATCGAGAACATCCCATCCTCACCGCCGATGCGACTACCACCCACCTTCGAAAGACTCACTGAATCGTGGATGGTATGAGTGGAAGACATCTGGCGCTTGATCCGCGACTTGCGTGAGAGGTTAGTGGGCGAGGTGGGGCTACATGGAGCCCCAAGAGAATCCGTGTTCAGTCGGCTTGGTGATTCAATCCGACTCAAAGGTTTTTCTGATGTCATCATAACAGGCGCCGGTTGGGGTGTTTGTTGGGAAGAAAAAAGAGCTCGAGTGCCCACGTGAGCATCATAGTTGTCCTTAGCAGACACTGATTCGAGCAATCCTACAACCGGGGTCGGGTTCATGCTTGCCATCTTAGCTTCGTGGGCGCAGCTGGGAGAGATAGGGAGCGGGCGATGTGGGGTGGAATTAGGAGATGATTGGTAGAGGCTTGCGCCTGCTAGTGACAACGGAGTGGATGATTTGGGTATAGCAGAAAGCCGGTGGACCAGGGGAGCAGTAGTAAAATCCGACTTGTCCAAGCTTGAAGATGGCTGGAAGATATGATGGTTGCTTTGATTAACAACAGTTGACTCTACAGGTGGTTTGGGCAGGGTTGGGCGCATTTGCACAACGTCTTTCGGACGATCGGTTTGCTTGGTTGCAAGCCCCAGGGAGATGGCAGCAGCGCTTTGTCGTGGAGCTTCATGCGTTATCATAGCAGAGGCATCCTTTCGAGAGGGGCTACATTCCTTGAAGGCTGGCCTCGACTGGCTAACAGGTTGTTGCTGAATAACAGGGGGAGCATTTTGGCTCCTCAAACGTTCAACGATGGTTTTCTGCTGAGGTTGGGCCAGGACATCCTTGTTGATGATTATCGGTAGGTTGGGCGAAGCGGAGACAGGCTTGAGGTCAATGCGAGAGGGTGACGAGTGTGACTCAATGTCGCTGGGGGGCTTTCTGGGCTGACTGGACTTTCTTTGGGTGTTGAGGCCCTTCCTCTTGACGGTTGGACTGTCGGATGGAATGATCAGAGGGCTTGTAGTAGGGTTTTGTGGAACAGACGGTGCCGATGGACTAGAGCAATCCACTGGGATGATCGTGGTGGTGACTGTCTTTGCAGGTAAAGATGGAGGTGGGACGGCTGGGACAGACACAGATGGAAACTGCTCGGCCTCAAATTGAGGAAACAATGCCTCGGGTGCAACCGATTCTCTAGCAAGAGTTGGCTCGTCAGTCTGTTGGTCATCGCACAAGTTCATCTGTTCAGCAATTGATGCTCGTGGCGGACGGGATGATGAATTGGCTAATGCTGAGGGCGGCCTCCAGTCGGTTGTATCCTGTCTTGTGGTTGTGCTACAGTCCAGCTCTACAGGAGCTTTCGGTGCGCTCGGCGGAGAGGGGATGGCATTGATCAAGGTTTCGCCGTAAGAGATTCGGGAGCTTTTCATGCGCAGTGCACTTCCGGTGTAGCTCGGCGTCGCGGTCCGTGTCAACTTGTCCTCCGTAGAATGAACGCTGAGACTGTCGTGCTCACGATCAACCGATGCACTTCCGGCATTAGACGACGTTCCTTCGTGAGCGGAAGAAGCGCGCGGTGGCTCTACTGAGGTAGTCCGGTTCAAAAAATGGGCGAGGTTTGCAAGACCAGTTGTGGGTGTTGCGCGGGTACTACTGGCCAAGTGAGGAGATGAGAATGATCTTTCTCGCGGGGATTGACCCGGGGATGTCTGGCGAGGACCAGATCGATGATCTGGCTCCTGATCCGAGTGAGACGGGACTTGGAAAACAGCCTTCTGGCTGTTTAGAGTAGGAGTTTGGTCGGGTGAAGGGTCCCGTGCACGGGCTCCGTCAGCGCTACGCCGTTCATCCTCTAACGCCACAATGTCTTCCAAAGCTTGGACGCTGTCGCTTCCGTCTGATCTTCTGGGACGCGTACCGCGTGGTTGACTGACGACTCTGACGGCTTGTTGTCGGCGTGGATGTCTGGTATTCCCGTCATCCTCGTCTGCAGACTCGCCTCTCGCGAGCAAGTTCAGCGTGTTTTGAGACAGTAGCTTGGCACTCAACGTGCCGGGACGCGACTCGCCCACTTCGCCAATAGTCTCCAACCTTGATTGTTGAAGAACGTTGGACAGATCATTTGGAACAAGCGTTTGATGATCTGTTAACAGAGAAAAGTTAGTTGAAGCAGAAGAGAGCGGACTGAGAAATCTTCAGCGGGAGAGCACTCCATTACCTGGTACATTGTTCAGGTGGCTCTCTGGATGTGCTGAGCCATGAGAAACGGGGCCCACGGTGTGAGATGCTTGAGGGGGCGTGGGTAATGCTCGCTTCCTGACGATTATCCCTCCAGAACTAGGCTGCTGTTGAGCGGTAATATTATGATTGATCGGTTCTGAAGTTCTTCTTGAGTTCGAAGATTTCCGACTCAGGGCAGAGGAATGGTCGGAAACACTTTCACCTAGAAAAGTCTACATCAGAAGCTGGATAGAAGGGTAATCGAGCGGGGGGACGCGTGAAGCAGAATTAGACTTACTATCATAATGACTGTCGGGGGGTCGATAGTGATGAGTTGGAGGGACAGGCGCAGCGGGAAGGGATTGGTGCCTGGTGCGCCAGTTTGGCGGCATGGGGCTACCTACATCATAGCCTTGATGAGCTGATGGGCTGGATGGTTCCTGTTGGTATTGAATCGGGACAGGATGGTTTTGAGGGACTAGAGGGGGCATGCCATTGATCGCTTGATAAGGATGGTCGGGTTGGGAGGTGGAGGTGGGATCGAAATGTGAGGATGTTGGCACCGTTTGCCTATGCCAAGGAGTAGTCGGGGGTGAGAAGATCGGTTGGGGAGGAGGATATTGAGAGTTGCTCGGTCCGACGTGAGAACGAGGGTCGTGGGTTGGGGCAGGGGTGACACAATGTGGTGGGTACGGTGAGAAGCCATGAGAAGTGGACAAGGGATGGAATGGAGCAGGTTGATTGGAATCCATCGCGTGATCAACTGGATAGGATGCCGAGGAGGGATTGGACCAGGCTGCAGAGTTGGGAAAGTAGTTGACTGCTGGAGCTACACCAGAAACGGGGAGTGGTAATGGGTTGGGGGGTACAGCCGAAGACGGAGAGAATGGCATGGGAGAAGAGAATCGGGATGAGGGTCTGGGGGATGGTTGGGGAGTTGGAAGAGGGGAGAAGTGAGCAGAGCCAGACGGAGATGGCGGAGCTGATCGATTATGGATTCCTCCCCAGTCGCCCCCGATGGAAAGAGATAGCCGAGGTGAAGCGGAGCGGGAAATATTACCCAGGTTGCAAGGATGGGGGGTGGGGAGAGGACGAGCGGGAGGTGTTGCGGCTGACTCGTCCAGATGAAGAATCAGGTTTTGTGAGATGAGTGATCGACATGGCGTTAGTAGAAGGCACGTGTTCAATGGTCATAGGGGCATTGCGAATAAGAAGTTCCTTGGGAAGTGAGGATGCATGTGTGACGTAGAGGGGAAGATCGACGATGAGATCATTACTGAAAAAATGAAAACCGATAGAGATGTCAGTAAATCGGCCGTATTCCTGAGTAGATTGATATGATGGATCTCTTACGATAATGCGCCTAGCTCCAGTTCGACCCTCAAGAACATATCTACTGAAAAAAGTTTGACGCCTCTGACACTGATGCATGCCGAATTGTGGTCTGCATGGTTGATGTCATCTTCAGTAGGGCTAGGCAGTTGACAGACGAGCTTGACCGTCTTGGCCTGGCCTGAGGCTGACGGAAACTCGTAATCGATCCCTCGAAAGGTGCAATTACGAACGACTTGGATTCGTGAGGGATCGGTTGAAGATGTTGTGTCCTGTGGCAAGACGAGCTTCCGGCAGATCTTGGCGTTGACTCCTCCGGACAGCTAGAAGCGTAAAAGACGGCAAACAGTCAGGCATATAAATAACGCGTGGTTGAGGAGGGATTGTTGATGTTGACATACCGTTCGACGCGAGTTATTCTTGACAGTCAGTTGGGCTCGGATGAGGCCATCGTCAGATTGAGACGAATTCAGATTAAAGTGTAGCATTTTGTCGATCTTGACTTCAGCCCAGACCCCAGCGCCAGTACCAGTCGGGTCACGAAGTTCGCCTCGCATCTCGACGGGCACGTGGAATTTGGTGTCATTCCAATCGAGAAGCTTTTCGTAATCGCTGGATGGTCTTCGACTTGG